AACGTTTGAATGCAGTACAGAAACTATATAAAATTCTGCTTACCTAAAAAAGTAAAAATGGAAATGTAATTAGAAAAAAAAGCACTCAATGAACTGTGATAGTCTTCTCTCCCATTCTGAAAGCCTATAACTTTCCATACCCACAATTTTCTTTACTACAGAAAGTAAATACAATATAAGCATCTCTCAACTATTTGGATGGTATATAATAACATTTTCATTAAGTATGCATTAAAAAGTGATAGGTATATAACCATCCATAGTAAATGCAGACCATCCTAATTCTAAATTATTATACATGAATACCATCATCAGCATGAAATCAAAAAAATATTACTAAAGTATCCCTCAAAAAGCACACTAATTCCATAGAAGGTTTAAGTATATGAAGTCAACAGTAATGCATCATTTCACAAACTAAGTTGAAATATGATGGGTATTTTTACACCTACACAGTTAAGATTCACAGTAAACACTATTAATATAAACCCTAGAGACCTGAAGGGAACTAGTATTAAAGAGCTAAAGCTTGGAACTGGAATGTGAGAATGAACACTAGCAGCAGGTTCAGGTCCACTCAGAAATGACAGTGAGTCAGCAAGGTAAACTGAGATTTAGAATCTCTCTTACTAACAAAATGCACAAAACACATAACCAAAAAAAAAAATACCTTGTGAATCAGAGAGCATTTAATTATTAGGGAATATTTTCTTTGAAAGGTTTTCCCAGATTATGCTATCTAATGAACACAATGCAACATTCCAAGAAACTGCTTAACTGTACAACACATTTGTCACAGGGGAGAATTATTTTATTCTATTATTTTATTATCAAAGCAACTTCTCCCCAGTATGAACAGCAGGGGTCTTTTGGGCGGCAGATACATGAAAGATTGTTCTATTGTAGAAAATAGAAATTATTTGCTATCATCAATAAGTACAAATCTCATATATACAGCTTCAGATATAGTGAGTTTGTTGACCAACTCAGTTCATACAAACCACTCTACTAGACAGTTTGACTAATTTTACAAAACAAGCCAATGGGTATTTGCAATGCTTTCTGTAAACCAGTAAAGTGAGTAGGTAGAGTCTAGAGTTCTGATGACTTTTAAAGGAAGTAGCATTGTTTTCATCAGTTCTCTGTTAACAAAGACTTGTTTTCATAGAGTAGTAAAGCAGAGACTCAGGATCAATGAATCAATGCCTATGTGTGAACCAAGACTACATATATATGCCCAAGTGTATTGAATAAGACTAGCCTCACTAAGAAAGAATTGTTTAACTTAAAGGCCATCTGTCAAATATTCTTTTTCTGTTGTTTGTTTCTTTCTTTTCTTTTTCTATCAAATATTCTTGTTTTGTTTCTTTAAAATCTAATGTTTAAAAAGTTAATAAAAACGAATTTTTGTTTGTTTGTTGAGACAGGGTTTTTCTTTAGCTTTGTAGCCTGTCCTGGAACTAGCTCTTGGAGCCCAGGCTGGCCTCAAACTCACAGAGATCAACCTGCCTCTGCCTCCTGAGTGCTGGGATTAAAGGCGTGCACCACTACCACCCGATAAAAATGAACTTTTAAAACAAAAATCCAGGATGGTTCAGTGGTTAAAAGCACTTGATGCTTTTGCAGAGGGCTCAAGTTTGGTTCCCAACACCCACGTGTCCTCACATCTGTCTATAATCCCAGTTCCAGGAGATCCACAACCTCTTCTGAAATCTGCAGACTCCTGCATGATATGGTGCACAGATTCACAGGCAATCGGATAAATATAAATATTTCTGAGACAGGATTTCTCTGTGTAGCCCTGGCTGGCTGTCCTGGAAATTGCTCTGTAGACTAGGTTGGCCTCAATCTCACAGAGCTCTGCCTGCCTCTGCCTCCCGGGAACTGGGATTAAAGGTGTGTGCCACCACTGCCCAGTTTAAATAAGTATTTTTTTTAAGTCAGGTACAGTTGGCTCAGACCTCTACTCCCAGTATTACAAGGGCTGAAACAGAACTGTCACTAGTTGAATGCTAGGCTTGGCTACAGAAACCTGTGTCAAAAGAAAATAAATTGAACTAAGTTAAGTTCACAAAAGAAACTATATTCATTTGTAAATGTCTCTAGGCTACAAAATATTACGATGAAAGCAAAAATGAAGGTGGAATCTCCATCTTTCAATGAATATTCACGAACAAGGTTTTAGTTAAAGGTCTCAGGTTCTCTGTGGAACTCCCTCAGCTTCAACAAGATAAATACTGAGCTACAGCAATGAAGCTACACCCTTACAGCATATACAGCAGTTTATGGTAACATGATTTGAAAAGGTTTCAGTATTTCACTCAGTGTTTTGTAGTATAAAAATGATTTCCAGGATAAATAGTGAAAAATTTTGAAGCTATTCTATTAGCATTAGGGCACTCTAGTGACTATGAAATTATATTTGTATTTTCATATTTATTTATGACTCAGAATTTTTCCAAAAGTGGGAAAGAACTATAAATACAACACTTTCCAAAAGCTATTCTCATCCCTGGGTCTACAATAAGTGTCAGAACTAACATCTCAAACTATGCACTAGAAACACCAAAGACTTCCAATCTCGCAGTCCACACATAGTTTGAACAATAAAAATAGATTGAGATGAGAGGAGTCAAACAAGGATCCTATTTTCAATACCTCACACTAGGAAACATAAGTAAGATTTTACTGAATATTAACAAATTTCTCAATTTGAAAGTCAAATTATCAATGAACATATTAATCTTGGAAATCATTTTTGAAATTTTCTTAAAGCAAAAATACTCCTTTAAATAGAATAAATTGTTGAGCTGCAATTGTAGCTCAGTGATGCCTTGAGCATAAGCAGGTGCTACAACTGACCTCAGCACTTAAAAATGCCATTTGTTACTTCAAATAAAATATGCTACTTCATTTTTCTGTTTTTCTTAATTCATATATTTTGGAAGTTAACTTCTTCCTGAATATATATGTACATATATAAGTTTATGTGTGTATATATATGTATATATATACAATCATCCTACACTTTAAAACAAGTTGTCCTCAAACTCTTATAGTCACATTTTGACTACCCTAAACTATTTTTTGATTACCCTAAACTACTTTTCAAATATCAAATCAATTCTTAAATCAACTACTTAATGTTTAACACTAACGGTGCTATAGAAATATCATTGCAAACATATATAGTTAATATTAACAGTAGATCCATATTTACAGTACAACATTCATAACTATACAGTATTTTAGCTAACCCCTAAGATCTGGTATAAACAAGTGAAAATAATAAAAGTAGTAAAGAATTGGTATTAATAAGAAGTATAAACAAGTCTTTTTCAATGAAAACAATAACTTTTTAAACAAATTTTTGAGCATTTTCTATGCACAAAGTAACTTCTAGGTGCTATGAACATAAACTGAATAATATAAAATATATTCAAACAAATACAAATAAGATATGTTTATATTGAACAAGAAAGAATCATTAGGTCAGTCAAAATCAGAAATGTTAGCTTAAGTTCCAAATTTCACTATAATGTAGCCCATTAAATTAAATGTCATGTCTCACAAATTGCTATTTCCACCAAAAGGGTTAAAATTATGTGTGAATTCTAGAGTCAGTGAATATAACAAAAGTTACTCAAAGATTAGTAAAGTTCAGAAACAGTGATTACCAACATCAGTTCTTAGAGCACTATATACTATATAAAGTAAATTGAAAATACATACCATAGCAAACACTTCAATACATGGCACATTATTAAAGCATATACACACAAAGATAATCTAAAATTGACACTTTTGTGTGCAAGGCGAAGGTTTATTGACAAATAGTACAGTAGGATTGTTTCCACAGAAAGTATCTGCAGAAAACATTAGACAAAAAATTAGGTATCTGCTGCTACTGAAGGTGGGGATGTAATACATAGACATTTGATACTATGTATAACCTACAATCTTAACTATGATAGAGCCTGGGTAACTTTATCTTCTTTAGTTCAGTATTTTCCAATTAGAAAATATTATACAGCTAAAGTTCAAATGATGCTATTAAGTGACAGAGGTACATACTTAAATATATTTTCTTTTTCAAATATAAAATTTTTCCATTAATATTCATGAAACAATCTATTCTTTAGAAATACTATCAAGAAATGTTCATTCAAATCTGGCAGTGGTGGCACATGCCTTTCACTCCAGCACTCAAGAGACAGAGGCAGGCAGATCTCTGAGTTTGAGGCCAGCCTGGTCTGCAGAGGTAGTCTAGAACAGCCAAGTATACACAAAGAAACCCTGTCTTTAAAAAAAAAAAGTGCTGGGTGGTGGTGACACATGTCTTTAATCCCAGCACTTGGAGGCAGAAGCAGCTGGATCTCTAGAAGTTCAGGACAATTTGGTCTACAGAGTAAGTTCAAGGACAATCAAAGCTACACAAGAAAACCCTGTCTCAGAAAGAAAGAAAAGGAATAAAGGAAGGAAGGAAGGAAGGAAGGTGAGACAAGTATGTGATCAGGTATATTAGCACATAGTTTTAATCCCAGTACTTGGGAAGTAGAGGCAGAAAGATTTCTATGGGCTACATAGTGAGTTCCAGGTCAGCAAGGGCTATCTACTGAGACCCTATCTAGAAAGAAAAAAAAAAAACTTCTACCAATTTTTATTTAACAACTTGTAATTTTTATTTTACAACTTGCTCAAATGCATTAACATTGAAAATGGCCAAAATGAAGAATTTTAGAAAAAAAACTTACTATATAGCTGGGCATGGATACTTATAAATCCTATAACTAGGAAAATTGAGACCACAGGTTTATTACACCCTCGTAGACATATATACACACACAAATGAATACTTACAGGGACATATACCATAATCACACACAAATGGGAAGGGGTGTATTACCAATGTCCTTTAAAGTATTTTTTTAAAGCTCTCTGTACCGTATCCACAAAGATACAAGAAGCATGGCATCTCCTTATCTTTTTTTCACTACTTCTGACATTTTGATTTGTCTGCAATACCTCAGCAGAAACCTTTCATTATTCTCCCTGTACAAAGATCACAGATATTAAGATACATCTGGTTGGACTGTCCAATTATTTCGTCATATGTTACAAAGATTCAGTTCAATAGGATCCTACAGAAGACTACCCAGGACAATAAGTCAAATGTATCCTGATATCACAGTGTCCAAGAGAGTCATCACTCCTGCTGGGCACCCTTCTACACTGTTGGTATCTGCTGCTTGAAGATATTCATGGTGAAATAAGAGCATCACAGGGACAGCTGGTAGCAGACATGCTGTTATTGCTTGAGAAAGTATCTGCTTCCCTGTTGTAGAAAAACCTTCAGGTATCATCCAGGAACCTTAGGGAAAAAGAAAGGGAAAAGAAATTAATTAATGTCATTGCTATACATTATGCATAAGTGATAAAACTGTCCTTTAGTCCCTAAGTTATTTGTGCCTACAAAAAAGGACTCAAGTAGTATTTGTCCCTTTACCACAAAACAGGGAACCCCTGGGAAACAGAAACTAAAAGATTTCAGATTAACTTAAAGTGTAATTACATTATTATTTTTTATTTTTTTTGGATAAAGCAAGAAAGATGTTGACAGATTATGTAAAGACTTGAGTAAACCACAAGTATAACTGAAATGCAAGCTATACATCTAATAAATCTACTTTCAAAACACAATGAGAAACAAAAGCTTACATTTATGTTTTACCTTCTTTTAATTTTATCTTTTGTTACATTATTTCTCTCCCCCCTCCATGTATGTGTGTGTGCTGCACATGTGAGTAGAAGGCAGAGGATAGGTCCATCTTATAGGTACGAGAGATCAAACTGAAGTAGTCAGCCTTAGCAGCAAGCATCCTTTTCCACTGAGCCATCTCTTTGGCCCCCTACTTTTGACAATATTTAAACAAGAAAATTGTTGCTGAAAATATATAGTGCTTCTGAGCTAAAAGACTTTTAAGCCCAGCTCTTTTATCCATTCTCTTTGTCTTGAATCAATCAAAAGGTAACCATACAAAATATCATCTAAACCAGAACAATTTTTGAAGTAAATATAAAGGTATTAGTAATATGCCTGGACAATGAACATAAATTAAGACTTTTCTAGGCAAATATAAAGTCAGTTGTCTAAAAAAATCCTACACATACAAACCATGGTATGTTATGAGCATCAGTCAAGAAGATGTGATGCGGGAGAATTGTCTGTATTCTGTCAATCATATTTTAATAAAACGCTGATTGGCCAGGCAGGCAGTATAGGCGGGAAAGCCAGACAGGAAGTAGAGGTGGAGCAAAGAGACTGGGAGCAGTCTGGCAAGCAGGAAGCTCCCTTGGCAGTTCTGCCCAGACCACCAGAGAGGAAAGATGTAAGCTGCCCCGCTAAAAAAGGTACTGAGCCATGTGGCTAACGTAGATAAGGATAATGGGGTAACATAAGTTATAAGAGCTAATAAGTAGCCTGACCTAATGGGCCAATCAGCTTTATAACTTATAGAGATCTCTGTGTGATTGATTTTCTCTGGGACTTGCCGGCTGTGGGATATTGGGCGGGACAGAAACCCCAACAAGCTGGCCATCATGTTACAAAGATGCTTCATACAATGTCTAGCATAGGCTCTCTATATACACTGGGTTACTCAACATTTAGAAATTTTCCCTCTCGATAAGGTTTAATAGCCAGAGTCCTGTACTTCCTTTTTCAAACAATATATTTTTATCAGCAATAATTGAAAATAAACACTTTCAAAAATGTGTTTTTTAAAAAACTAATACATGAAAATCACTTTCTTACAACCAGCAATACAATGTCTAGAAATATAAACGACAGCGGTATCTCCAAAATTATCATGAATTTCATACATTTTCCCATTGACCACCCAACTATTAAAAGCTCTTAAACAAAGAACATCCACATTCATAAATAAATAGATGTTACAATCCCCAAAGAGAGTTGCATACATACCATCAGTTACAGAAATGCTTGCAATAAGGTTCCCTCTCAGTTTCCTCCTAGGGCAAATTTCCATCTCTCAAAGCAGCAAGTTCTTCAGTTCTTCAGAGTTCATTCCATTGCTGTTCAGCACCAGTGATCCAGTAACCACACAGGTGTATTAAGCAACAGCTGTCAACATGAATTGCCAGGACTCTACCAATCTCTTTCCCCAACTCTGCAGTGGAGTGTGTAAGGATCGCAAAAGGTCCTCTCACTCACAAAAACCCATGTATTCTTTCAACATACTTACATTCATGTCTAGATACACTATTAGCACATTTGGACCAACTCACTCTTGTCAACCACAGTTTTTCAGAAAGTAGTGAGTATATATTACAGACTTAAATTTTAGGAGGAAACATATTAAGGCTTTACCTGAAAAAGCAATATTAACAACTTGAAGTTTCAAAAAGTCATGAACTCTGGCAGAGAATTTCTATAGTTACAATATAAATTATATGTTTCCACATGTTTATTTTAGTGTAAAGCAAAATAATTACCATGGCATAAGAAATAGCACACCAATAATATTTCATATTAAACTCACAAAGATCTATGTTTCTATGAATTCTTGTGTTGTAGTCATAAGTGTCTATAATTAAATTATGTGTACATGCTGCATGATAAATAAAGAAAAATGGTGCTGCTTTTAGCAGTTTCTGTTAATTTAAATTTTAAAAAATGAGCATACCTGAAAAATTGTTCACATAAACCTACTTTTCAAAACCTTTGAAATAGATTCAAGTACTAAACTAATGCAATTTGTAGTGCAGGGACAAGTTGATAAACTCAGAAAAGAATGCATTTGCAAATATTTGATTCTGAACTGTTATTCCAATGAAAAAAATAAATCACTAATTAATAATAATTGCTAAGAATATACTGACATCTTCAAAAGAGAAGTTCCCCTAACTCTATGAAAGTATCTGTATTTTTTTACTGGGCCAACTCAAGAATGAATTCAAGGCTTAAAGTTATAAACAGGAATCACTAGTGAAATCAAAAGAGATCTAAGAAATAATGTCAGTATACTATGTAAGTGAAAGCATTACACAACTATCAAGCCCAGCAGAAAATCGGGCACTGATAATGCATTATTTTAAAAGCCATTTGGACAAATGAATTTGAGCAAAATAAGAAGAGTCACAAAAATACTCATCCTTTCTGAGCATAAGCAAATATTATAATGGTAGGGTAGAAGGACAATTTCCCAAGTGCCATTTTCTACTATGCATGCTCTACCTACAATATCATGTTCATACACAAAGCACAACATTTACAGAGCCTGTCCGAGTACAGAGTCTATCCTGGAACTCGCTCTTGTAGATCACACTGGTCTTGTCTTGAACTCACAGGCATCCACCTGCCTCCCTGGTGCTGGTATTAAAGGTGTGTGTCACTAAATATAGAAAGCCAGACTTAGAGTTCTATATTCAGTGCCATGCCAATGCAAATATTAACATGGTCGCTATAGACTCTAACTTTATATAATATTTAGTTTATATATATATATATATGACAGGGAAATCAAGAGTTCAAAAAATCCTAATTTAACTCAAGAAAATTGCTACAGTATATCATACTTACTGCCTCTTTAATTTCACAAGAGAAAACATGTATCTGAAAGTCCTCTGAACCATGAGAACTCTCCGTAAATGCAAAGCAGTTGCTCTCCGTTGTCCCATCATGCCCACGTGCACAGAACAGCACCTTATAAATTGGGAAAGATGCTATCTCCCCATTGCTTGACTGGTCTATGATTCTGAAATAACAAAAAAAATGAGATAAGGATATCAACTATCAAAAAACAAACCATACCAATATGGCATAATATATCTATCTTAAAATCACAAAATGGATATTAATACAAATAAATGAATTGTCTTCATGTTACTCAAAATCTTATATACAAACATACATACAAAATCATTTCATTTTAATGATTTCTTCATTCTTGTTTCCTATGAGCCAACTCACATACTCACCAAAGTCAATTATATATAAACTATATTATCATATCTATTTCATATCATACACATGTATATATATAAATATATATCAATCACTCATTCCAAGTTTTTATGTTATTCTGTCAAAAGCAATGCCAGTAAACTGGGAAAAAAGACATCGAAGTAGGAGGATTGTTGGAAAAAAAAGGTTTCAGCAGAAGAAAGGAGGGGCTAAACAAGGATAAAAGAGGATGTGTGAAAATACCCAAAACTCAGCATATGCATGCATCATATTGTCAAAGAATTTTGGGGAGGCCTTTTTTGTTTTTTATTTGGTTTTTTTTGTTTGTTTGTTTGTTTGTTTGTTTGTTTGTTTTCGAGATAAGGTCTTTCTATTACAAAGCTATGGCTGTCCTAAAACTCACTATATAGACCAGACTAACCTTAAACTCAGATACACCTGCCTCTACCTGGGATGTTCTCCATGAGCACACCCATTAAAAAACCTTTTCAAAGAAGCATTTTTCAGATCACTAGAAATAAAGGTATGTAAAGGGGGAGAGAAAGAGAAAGACTAGCACAGATAATTCCTAGAAAGTCCATTTCTTTTTTATTCCTTTCCTTTTCTCTGTATGTGCTTGTGTGTGTTTGTCACAGAGGGTTTGTAGATGTTTGTGTGTGTAGGTGTAAGCGTGTCTACAATACATGAAGAGATCAAAAGTTGGCCTCAGTTATCAATGCTTAAGAGCCATTCCATCTTATTGCTGTTTAGATCTTTCCTAGCTAGAGAGGCAGTCAACAAGTCCCATCAATCCTGTCCCTCAACATTGGGGTTACAAGCATGTAGCCACATCAGAATGTTTTTCTTTTAGCTTTAGTGGTAATACCTCAAACTTAGGTCCTCTGTCTTGTACAGTAAGTGTTCTTGCTCACCTTGTTTGCTGAAACAGAATATCTCACTGGGACCTGTGGCTAGACAAGAGCAACCCAAAGATCTGCTTGTCACTGCCTCTCATTTTGAAGGCTTGGGAGACAAAAAAAGGGGGGGGGCTGCTCTACAAGTAAGAGGACCTGAGTTAGACATTAGGACTTCAGGAAAGAAGAGAATTTGAGTGCTACGTGGCCCGTACTTGCGATGTGGGTGCAAGAGAGGTCAACAGGTAGCTCCAGAAGCTTCCACAGACTAGCCAGCAAGCCAGTCTAGCAAACTTGGCAAACTCCAGGCCAGTAAGACACTCCGGCTCAAAAAAATTTAATTTAAATTTTTAGAAGGTAAATAGCACCTACAGAATACCACCAGTAGCTGTCCTCTGCCTCCACAGACACCTACATGTGACCACACATATTTCACACAAAGAATATATTAACACAATGTTTTCCTAAGACACTAAAGGCATTTTTATCAAAACTTTGTAAATTTAGGGGCTGGGGCGATGATTCAGTGGTAAAGAATACTGCCTGCTCTTCCAAAAAACCTGAGTTCATTTCCCAGCATCGACATGGTAGCTCACAACTGTCTGTAACTCCAGTTCCCGGGGATTTGACACCCTCGCACAGACAAACATGCAGACAAGACATCAATGCACATAAAATAAAAGTAAACAAATCCTTTTTAAAAATTGTAAATTTACAATGCTATTAGTAGATACTTAGTACTTAATTTACTAGATTAATAATTTGAAAATACCCTCTGCAAGCAAGAACAAGTTCTAAGCCCAAACGTAATTTTTGATTTGCATTGTAAGTCTAGAGAATGTATGTGAACTCACATTTCAGTCCCACATTTGATTCATAACATACTCACCACCACTCAGCATACTTAATTATACACTAAGAAAAAGAAAGCTTACCTCACAGAACCTTCTGGAACATTGGGCACATACAGTGTAACAGCAAAGGGGTACTGACTGGAAGCTCTCATGGTTGCCATTGCCCGTAAAGCCTCTACTTCACTACGTGGGGAAGAAACTTTCATAAATCCTAAGTAGGTCAATTTATTAAATAGAACACTGTCTTCTTCAGGAAGTTCACTTGGAGAAGACAGTCTGGGTTTGGAAATTTCTAAAAAAAAGAAAAAAGAAAACAATCAAGTCACTAGTACGCATTCCAAAAACAAGTCATTTCTTTGTTTCCCTATCACTGGCTCACTAGCTTATGTAAACTATTAAGTTTTCTAATGAAGCTGCTTTTCTTTTAATAGATTTTGATGATCACTTCACCCAATTTTCCACTCTATATAATGACAGGTACAGGGAGCAGAATGAGTACATTTGTAACTCTACACACATTTTTAAAGAACTCATTATTGTTGGATAATATCTATCTGTATGTTAAAAAGATAATTCGTTTTTTAAAACTATAAATCATTTAAGTCATTGTTTATTTGAACTATAAATATCAATATTTAAATTATTTTAGTATTAGTATTATATGCACATATGTTGCTATGCATTTCTGTCAACTTAGACATATGAAACAATAAACAAGGTCCTATAGTAAAAACATTATAAATAGGGAAGCTTACTGACATTTCTGCAACTGGATTTCTAAAAATGAAGAGAAAATTTTATCTGTGTAACAAAATATTCATAACTATAGATTCTAAGCACAAAACAATATAGATAAATGGATCTAAAAATATAGACAATAAAATTAGTAAGCAAGACTTAAATTATTACAAATATGAATAAGGATTTTAATTTTTTAACAAAGTGAGTAGAAAAATAAAGGAATAACTAAAATATTCTAAATCTGAGTAAAATGGGATCTAAAAATGAAACATTCTCTGGAAGGTTATTAAGCAGGAGATTATTTTATATAAAAGAAAAACTGTTGCAGTAAATTTCTTCAGCTGGGGAAAAAAAATGACCAGAGAAGGAACTGAAAGCACCCAGGAAAGACTCTGCTCAAGCAAGAGACAGTATGCAAATGACTAACACTTTGTTAAGTAAATTCCAGGAATATAGGAGAATTAATGTAGAGAAGAAAGAGGTTTAACTAGCAAGAGTTTAAATGTATAAGTGTCTATATTGAAGACTCTCAATGATTAGTCCAGGAGTGGTGGCACAGGCCTTTAATTCCAGCACTTGGGAGGAAGAGGCAGGCAGATCTCTGTGAGTTCAACACCAGCCAGGTCTACAGAGCAAGTTCCAGGACAGCTGGGGCTACACAGAAATGCTGTTTCAAACAAACAAACAGAAAAAAAAGGCTTTCCTTGCCAATACTCTCTTACATTTGTGGTGTGGGTGCATAGGCATGTGGCATGTGCTTATGTTGACGCAGGCACATATATATACACATACAAATCTTTTTGTCAATACAAAGGCAATGTTAAACTAACATTTTTCTAGTTTTCGTCTTTTTTATTTGTTTATTTGTTTCTTTATCCCATTTCCTCATATCATCTTTAAGTATCTGGTTCATTACCTGTATTGGATGGATCCAAAACTAACTGAAGAGATGGCTTATTTGTTTGACCAGCTGGAACATCTCCAAAGGAGTAGTCTGAAATCTCACTGGAACCCTGACAATCAACAAGTAGGCTGCTTTGTCCTTTCTCAGAATCTCTCAAAATCTCTGCCATGGCTTTTTCCAACTGTTCATCACCATTAGAAGCTATCTATAGGTAGAGCAAAACAATTCTTTTTCAATCCTCTTAATTATGGGGCTTAATTTATTAAAAAATATTCATTTTGAGAAACTAAGGTCGAAAAATTCAAATATATAGTCAATAAATACCGAGAATTTACCCAGTGATACCTAATATCACATATCCATAACACACTGAAATCCTGAATGATAACATCAACTGAATAAAAAGGGGCTTATTAGTTTCACAAAATGATTCTTCATAAAACACTGCAGGTACTTTCAAATTACATTTGATACAGATCCTACTGATACAAGGCCAGTGAGATGGCTCAGTGAGAAAAGCAATTTTTACCTACAATCCAGATTCCTTGTGGTCAAAGGAGAGAACCAACTCGTGAAAACTGTCCCTGAACCTCCACACAATATACTGTATCACACACATGTCACATACACACACACACACACACACACACACTAGAACTTAATTTTATGTGTTTTAAGAGGAAAATGAATGTTTAAATATGGTATATTGTAAATAACATTTAAACAATTATATTTTTAGCATCATCCTATAAACATTTTTAATTTCTTTATAAATTCTTCATTAGCTACCAAAGTGATGCTAGTTTTCTTAAAGTTATATTTCTGACTCATTGATACATTCTGATACCATACTTAATATTAAGAACAGTCATAAATAAAATAGCACTTGGTTAGCTCAGTCCTGCTTACAAAGAATGGTTACCAATTCCTATGCACATATACCCAGGTTCATTTGCTTTCTATTCTTTGACTTACAAAAGGCAACCCAAAATTTAAAAGAGAGAGAAAAGAAAAATATCCAAATGAAAATTCAACTGCCAAAAATATACAATATACACTTCTAAACTAATCAGTCGACTGCTAAAACATCTGCCAGATTCTCGCCACATGATTCAAAGCATAAAATACTTAACAGAAAAAAATCTTTCAATTAAAACTCAGAATAGAAACACAGTCAAATAAAATTATGTAAGATTTAACCAGTAAATTTAACTCACA